CAGTTGAAAGGGCATGGTCTGTCAACCGGGGGGGCGACCATATGTATACATATATATATATATATATATACACGGAAAAACAAATAAAAAGACAACAGTCCAACACAAAAGACAAGACAAAAAATCCGACACGATCCGTGTGTTAAAGCCAGACACAGGTCTGAAGACATGTACATGAAAAGGAAGATGCAGGTGTTCTACAGGAACGCAGAGAAAAAGACAAGGATCAACACAAAAAAAGACAAAAATCCACAACACAAAAACAACACAAATCCGACACAAAAGAAAAGACAAAAACGAGTTTCGCTCCGTTTGTGTTTTGGGTATATGATGAACCAGAATAGCCAAATGAGGGGATGAGTTTAAGATCTGAAAATTCGACAAACGAGGGGTGCTTGCTTCAGATATGTGATGGATCGGAATCGCCAAATGAGGGGCCGTGTTTAAGATATATATGTGTAAGAAAAGATGAACCGGAATCGCCACATGAGAGGGCGTGTTTAAGATACATGGTGAACCCGAGTCGCCAAAAGGTGGCCGTGTTTCAAATACAGGATGAACCGGAATCACCAAATGAGGGGGTCTGTTCAAGACATAGAACTATTGCCAATTGAGGGTGCGTTATTTAGATATCTTAAGAACGGAATCGGCACATGAGGGGTGGCCTGTTGAAGATATATGATGAACCGAAATCAGCAGTTGAGGGGGCATGTTTCAGATACAAACACAGGGTCGTCTTTCCGAAGATGAAACCGTAAAGGAAGGCGCCAACCCGATATACCCTAAATCCTCATCCCTCACCCTGTTGACCGGGGCAGTTTTTGCAATTATTTCCCGGAAAACGCGGCCCCGGTTTGTCGTCCCAAAATCCCGAAACCCTGAACCCAGACCCCCCTGGAGATTGCTTGCCCCGTAAATCTCTAAACCTTTCATCCCAAACCGTGAAGGCGCAGGCTGAATCATGAAAGCACAGCTCGTAACATCGACTTTGCCCCCTGTTGCCTGGAATCCGCGACGAAACCCTTAGGTGAGGTAGAAACCGTTGAAGCCCGAAAGCAAACCGGAGAAGCCGCGAGTGATTTCGAACATTTTGCCGAGACGTGTGCAAACCGGAGAAGTCACAAGTGATCTCAAGCACTTTTGCCGAGACATGTAACAAATTGAGCTGTTTGAGAAGTCACAGGTGACCCAAAACACAAGTCACCCTCCTCTCAGGAAGTCACAAGTGACCCAAAACAGACGTCACAAGTGAGCCACCCTCCTCTCCGTTTTTCATTTTAATTTGAAATGGAAGGAGTCCGAAGTTGGCATTACTTGCTTGAGATGCTGGAACCATTCGTTGTACAGCATTTGGGCAGTTTCATGCCATTTTAGAATGTACATCCGGCAGTACCAAAGCACTAGGGTCCGTGATTCCACAACCATGACATATAAACAGCCGCAGAAAATCTGATTTCAGCATGATTTGCTTCTGGAATGTTTGAGCAGCAGAAGAAGAACAGTCCATTGGTTTGATTGAGTTGACAGAGTTGAGAGAATGCCAGGTGATGTTGATTGATGGACCAGTTGATTTGTTCCGTGCACGTTCAACAAATGTGGTGTAGTAAATGTATCTTGATATGACGTTTTGATGTACTGAGATACAAAGCAGGCGAAAGAATTAAAAGTCGCGTGAACCAATTTTACAAGCAGCGCAAATAAAAAAACACGTCACGAACTCGCAACTGGAGTGGTGTTTGTATGTTATTATCAAAACGAAATTGAAAGAACCTCAGGGCAAATTCCAACCCCCGACCTGCATGCACTCATTGTCGCAACACGTGGCGGTTGCTTGCTGACAAGAAAATCGCGATTGCATGTTGGCTTATGTGCTCATGCAGTTGTAGCATAATCAATTGCTATGCCGCCATGGAGCGTGCTTCTTCGCTGCCTTCGTTGCGGCTTCCGGCTGTGAAGCACACTGACGTGTTTAAGCGTATCGCGGGGTTTTGGGCACAGAATTCTTACGGAACGCTTTTTGTTCTCAATCTCAGGGCGGGCGACCAGCAGCGACCGATTTTGTTGGGGAACTGCAGGTGGGATGGTGAGTGAAAGTGAACGAAAGTGCTGTGTCTTGGGATTGGAAGGCCAGCGTTGGGCCTCCACGGTCCTCATGACGCTTGTCCGCGCTTTCAGCAACTGTGTGACATGTTCTGATTGAAGCGCTGAGTATTCCAGGAAGCAGCTTCGAAGAGTACTTCTGCAACCTCTTCCATGAGGTTCGAGCAGCGTGTCGAGCATGCGAGGTGTGTATCCGATTTCGCTAGGGAACTTACCAAGAGCCAGATGCTTCCCAATTCAAACGGACGCACAGTGAATTCGGCACATTGGACTGAGCCTTGCTTGGATGGGTCTCTTGGGAGTAACAAGTAACAACAAGATTGTTGGCTTGCGGGTTCTTGTCACGTCGTTCAGACTCGACGCACGCACCGACCTGATGTGTCCAACGTAAGCACTGCTGCTATGTAGCTGCTGTGGCTCAATGAGTTTGGTCACGGCCAACAACTTCAAGCAGGTCTATGACGTGCCTCTGCTGCGAAGCATCTGTTGCTGGAGATAGGCTGAGTCAAACCAACGGCCAGCTGTCGTATTGAATTCCTTAAAGGAGTCCGCCTGGGTTGTGAAGTAGGTTGCCCCCATCACGATTTCTGTTGCTTTGCACTTGATTCGTGCTCTTGCGGTTCTGCTTGTTGCGTCGACCAGCCCAAGAGAATATAGATTTTAGCTTTATTTCGATACAACAGTCTGTGGTGACAAAAGTTCCAGATGTGGTGGCTTCGCGCGATCGACCTTGCCCCGATACACGAAGCAACAGCCTGACCTGGCAAACGCAACCACGAAGATCCTGCGTGGCTGCAGGGCAAATTTCCACACCCGCCGTTGCTATGTGGATCTCGACGTGTGTTTTGGGCCGCTTGATGGGCTTGTTGTCAATGCAGGGTTTCCGTTCTTGTTAGTCCTGTTGCAAGATGAGGCTCTGCAGCGTTGATACACCACAGACGGGTGTGGTTTCGAGAGAAAAATTTCGCCTCGTACGGACGGATGCCGTTGCAAATTGCAACAGTGTTGCATTTTCCCTTGGCAGTGCTCGTATCGTGAACCTTAATTATGTGATGAGCAGCCAGGTTGTTCAACCGTGGAGCAATCCCTGCATCGATTTGCCGTGACATTGTGATGTGATGGGTAAATGAGTAAATCTCCAACTTATCGGAGTTCTTTTGGGTGCCGACAGGACGTTTAGTTTGTGATGTTGCCCGTGTCCGAAAACACGCGGTTGATGACACCAGATTAGGCCGGGACATGCCTAGACTCTAGGCTACTTAGTGCGCCGATCACCCTCGCGACCTGTGTTGCCAGCATGTCGCCGCATGCATCAGAACATTGAACAGCTGTATGTCTCGCTGAGGCTGCATTGTGAAGCTATGGCGATGTAGCAGCATTGATTTGTTCAGATTTTGTGGACAAAATGTTGTGTGAGGCAGTACTCGTTGACGACCGTTCCGTGCACTTGCGATCGGAGACCCACGAGGGACGTTTGCTGTGCTTCACGCTTTCGCTGAGCACATGCTTCGGCTTCGAAGATATTGCGCGTTTCCACCCGTGATGTTGATGTTCAGACTCTGTACTTACATGAGACTTTTGTAAGGGTTGCTGTTTCCGTCCGATGACATTTCGAGAGCACTTGCGCATGCATCGCAACAACCCCTTGGACAGGCCTCGTATGTGTCGGTGCCAACCATCGCGGTGCATCTTCCGTGAGACAAACCTTTGCCTGGAAACTTGGCCAGACTCGTGCCCTCGAGGGTGCTCCATATGGCTGCGTCATGCGCCCGAGCATATGGCGCTGTGAGGTCGAGAGGGACGGTCCGGAGCGCATGGTTAGCGCGGGGCGCGGCGCAAAAGCTGAAGTGGAGCCACGCGCATTGCAGGTCAGGCAATTTGGGAAGCTGGCGTCCTTCGGCGCCCCAGGCACGGACGTACTCTGGCGATATGTCCGTGTGCGTCGCGACCGTGCCTGTCACCAAATCCACGGCGGCGCGCGCTCGAGTTGGGTCGGGCAACAGGCAGCTCGGTCTCACGAAATTGGTTACAACAGGCGCGGAAACCATGGTGCTGCCATCCCTGGTGCTTCTGTCGGGTAGGTCACACTGTGCGGGGCGCAGACCGTTGTGTAGATCCTGCCATGGCAAGAACGTAGCACGCCCTTGCCATCCCGCCATGGCACCGAGCAAACGGTAGCAGGACCTGCAGCGAGCTCTGCGAGGCACCTGGTTGCATCAGGGCGGTGAGCGCGCAAAACCGGTAGTGCGTCAGCGTAGGCGGCCCATGAAGCAGCAGGGGCGCAACGTTCGGCGCAACTGCAATCCCGATCCTCCTATACGAGCCAGCAGCGCGAGCCGGCGTGCTGCAGCGACTTCAGGATCCGCGTCGTCTTCGATCAGTGGAAAAAGTAGGCGTCGCCAAACAGCGTCATCGTGGCCACGTGCACAGCTGGCGGAGAGGTCTGGCGGGAAAATGCGCGGGAGGTCAGCACCCGGCGATGCACACATGGCGAGGAGGAGCCATGCACACTGGAGTCGGGCAGCACGGGAGCTCCTGCAGCAGCTGTGCCTCTTCGGGCAAACGACATACCGTGGGTGCCCAGGGTAGCAGGCCCTCCACCACGGTTGCATATGCAGGTTTTGCCGAGGTTCGCGGCGATGCCCGCCAATGACAACATCAAGGCGCGCGCGCTCAATCAAGCAGGCTTGCCCGTGCCACAAGGATGAGCAGCCCTTGGAACGTGTGCTCGAGCTCACAAGTGCTGCAAGCCCTAGTTATTGGCCGCGCCGGCTCCCACTGCCGCTCGCACTAGGCCGCTGCGAAGGCCCCTCGGAGCATGGGTGCGGACGCCGCGTTGATGCTTTCGGAGACCATGCATTTGCATGCCCCCGGAATGGCCTGCTGGCTAGACGAGCCAAGCTAGTTGAGCGGGCGTGGTGCAAAGTTGCCCGGGGAGCTGTTGGACTTGAGGGACACGTGGTGCCCCAACAATGGCTCCTCAACACCACCGCACCGGGCATTGCGCCTAACGATCGCCGGCACCTTGACCGCGTCATCTATGGTGCCGCACCACGGGGTGGAGCCCTTTGCTGTGATGCGACCCTCGTCTCGCCCCTAACGCGAGACGGCGAGCCCCACCCCGGCTCGACCACACAGCGTGGAGCAGTTCTTGGCACCGCCTATACCGGCGCAACACGCCACTTACCCCGCACTCGTTGCAGGAGCCGCGCGAACCCTGTGCGTGCTCGGTTGCGACATGGGTGGGCGGTGGGACGACGACGCAGTCCGCGCGCACAAGGCTCCGCCGGCAGTGCTCCCCGGCAAAGGCTGTGGGCCCGCCGTTGGTGGAGCGTGCTTTCCGTGGCCGACCGGCAAGCCCTCGGCCACACGGCGCTTGGGCACTAGGACGAGGTCCTCGATCTAGCCGACCCGGACGGGCCCAGCGCCACCAGACCCCGAATCTGAACATGTGCACATCTGGGTTGGCGACACCAGCCTGCCCGCTTACCAGCAAGGCCTGAAAGTCCTGGGGACTCCACTCGGAACGGACGAGTTCGTTGCCGGCCCGGATCGGCGGACTCGGACTCCAATGTGCGGAGCGCGTCGCTCCTGCCGCATACTGGGCTGCGTGGGCCGACGCTTTGCCCGTCTTGCGGCTGCGTCGACCCGAAGCTGCTGCGCGTTGCCTTGCCGAACTCGAAGCAGGATCAGCATCCTTTGCCCTTTGCTTACGCGCTGCCGCTGCAGCTGGTGCACACCTCACCCACGCAGGATGGGAGGGTCGGCCCGAGTGGCGCGCTATCCATGACGGCCTGCGGCCGGCCCAATGCGACCTGCCCGAACCTTGCGAGCGGTGCCAGGGCTGGCAGCATCACAGTCTGGGCCGCGCGCTGCCGCCTGGCTCGGCACCGTCCCCAGCGAGGCCGGCACAACAATACCGCCAGACCGCATGCTCATCGCTTTGCGGCGGCGGTTGCGCCTGCCGCTGCCCGTCGCACAAGGCAGATGCGGGGCCCATGGACCCGGCTGCGGCGCCGCAGTCGATGTTTACGGTGATCGCAGTGTGATCACTATGCTGCCTGCCCGCGTACCGGTCTGGTCGCCCGGCGAGCCAAGCCGCTTGAGCGCGCGTGGATAAGGGTCGTTCGCGAAGCACTCGGGCCAGAGGGCCAGGCTGTTCCGCAACAGTGGCTCGTTCGGACGACTGCCCCGGGGGTCGATCCGGATGATCGCCGGCGCTTCGACTTCGTGCCACACAGCTCGGCGAAGCGCTGTGCTGCGACGTGACGTTGGTCTCGCCGCTTGCCCGTGATGGCCGCCCGCAACCCTCCACAACCACCAGGGACGGTGCCGCCCTTGCCATCGCCGAACGCCGCAAGCGCGCTGCCTACCCCGAGCTCCTCCAGCGAGACCCGCAAAGGCTGTGCGTGCTCGCGTGCGAGACCGGCGGACGTTGGAATGACGAGTCGCTCCGCCTCGTCGCACAGCTCGTCCGCGCGCGAGCCTTGCGTGCTCCTGCTCCGCTCCGAGGAGCTGCCACGCAGGGCTGGTACAGGCGGTGGTGGGGCTTGCTGAGCGTGGCTGTGCAAAACACGCTTGCCGCCACTTTGCTCGGGACGCCGCCAGTCCATGCCCCCATGCCTGGCGCGCAGGCACCGCATCTGCAGGACGTCCTGCACGACGCGTGCCCGCCTGTGCCCAGCTGCCTGCCGGCCCGCTGAGCCGCTGCAGCCACGTAGCTCGCAGGTGGACTGGGACCGCGCGTGGATCGCCCGAAAAATCCGTTGGGTTAATAAAATCCCAGCTTGTGCA